ACTTCTTTTTCCTTTTGAATGAACTTTTAACATATTTGATGCTTTCTCGAATTTTTATCATTGATTTATCAATTTCGTTAAGTCAATCTTGGACTATAAAATTAAGAATATGTGCACAACACTGAACCTGGACGAACTCACCACCCCTCAAGAGAGCATTTTTAAGGATAAGTTAACTCTTCGACAACTCAAAAAAACAATCATTACTAGAAGCACTATCAAAAGTCAAAGAAAATAATTTCTTTTTAATTCTCCAATCAATAAAAAATGTATAAATTTTCTCAGATAAGGTAATACTTGTGTGGGGAGGGGGCATGAGACAAAAGTTTAAAATTTTTTTCTACAACTTCCAATCTAGATCAACATATTGGGCTGTGAAAGAAACATATCCATCAGTCGATATAGAAGTCCACAAATTAGATGTCAAACAAATTCTTCTAGCAAGGGAACCCAACACAATTTTAAGTTTATCCTTCTCTCTCTTATACATTTTTAACACATCTGACTTTGCATTATTCCTAGAAGGTATCTTGATATTTTTATAAGCATACTTGAATATTGCTTTAATTCCCTCATATTGGACAAATCAAAATGGTAAATCATGCTTAAGTATTGCCTCAACCGCTATCTCACAAAATTTTTCAAGATCAAATTTTATGGATTGCATTAGCATAGATCCTTAACCTTGACTTAGAAGTAATTGTCCAATATCCCCGGTGCCTTTTTTCACACATTTTTCCATGTGAGTATGCATGTTACTAGTTCTATGACTAGACTCACAGATATATTTGATACTACAAATATTACATATAGCACGCTTCTTGCCGTTTGGATATTTTTCATTTAATTCTGTAAAATATTTTCATACTATTAAAGTCTTTTGTCGCTTACGATTAGATTTACCTTTTTCTGTAGTTGTACCAGTTGATGTTTGTGTTGTTGGAGCTGCAATTACATTAGATTCATGTCCGACTTGATCTTCTTCATTAGAAATTATAATATTGTGTTCGGAAGTATCCATCTGTATAAGGCAAAAAAATAGAGTTAAACTGATATCACCCCCAACACACAAACTGATACAATAAGTTTGTGCAGCTACTAAATGTTTTGAATTTTACTTATATAAACAGGTGGGCTTGATATAAGCAAGAAAAACAATTCAAATTCAATGGACTATGACTTTTACTTATATAAAGAAAAAATCTATGTTGGACTGTGACAACATAATTGACATAAGCAATAAGACTAGTGAACAGAGGATAAAGAAAGACAAAAACAATTCAATTTCGTTTATTTGTTCAACTACCAAAAGACTTCATCAAAAAAGTCATGAAAGTCATTACTTCATCAAAAAAGTCATGATAGCTACCAAAAGACTTCATGAAATTTCATTTCTTTGTCCATTTCGAACACAGTCCAAATTTCGAACATAGTCCAAAATTTTGTTTCGAACACAATCCATTACGAACACATAAATAACTGCATAAATAACAAAGAAGGGTAAAAGACTGCATAAATAACAGACACAGCTACCAAAAGACTGCATAAATAACAAAGACTTAATCAAATTTTGAACACAGTTGAATAACTTTAGCCATTTGATTTTATGAGGATACTGATCTAATAACAAAGATTGCATAAATTTTCGAACACAGTCGAATAACAAAGAGTCAAAGACTGCATAAACTTCGAACACAATCTTATACCCATCTAATACAGATCTAAATACAGAATTACCGTGGTCAGCGACTCAAGCTTCGTGGTCAGTGACTCAAGCTTCGGCTCAGCGTAGATACGATTAAGATTAACCGTTCGATTCATTGTAGTCCAAACACAAATCTAAATACGATTAACCAACTCAAGTTTGGAGAGAGAAAAAGAGAAAGAAAGAACGAGAGAAAGAATGGAGGGTCTGGACTTGGAGGCTAGAGGGTGGAGGCGCAACAGTCAACACCAAAAGCTTTAGCCGTAGATGCAATTAGATTAGGATTGGGAAAAATAGCTTTATATATTTTTTGTGTAGTTGCCATTAAAAAAAAAAAATTTGATTAATTTTTTTAAAATAATTATTAATTTATTATTATATTAATTTTATTTAAACGGGTTGACATGTCTTACCCGAACACCTAGGAAGCACGGACACGCTTCGGGCACGCTCGAACACGTGTTGGACACGTTAAAATTAGTGTTCTATTTTTTTATTATTAAATTTTTTTGGACACGTTGGGACATGTGGCCGACACGTTCAGGACACGTTGGGACACGCTGGGAGACACGTTTTGAAATTTGTTTTCAATTTTTTTGAGAACTTTTCAGATAATTTTATAATTAAGAGTTATTTTTATAATTTTAAAGGGATATGAGTTACAATCATAATATAAAAGAAGTTATAATAATTACATTGAACATAGGACATGAATATAATATAATTTTGGATATGAATACGAACTTATATACAAATGAAATAGTCTTTTAATATGAAAGTAATGTGAGAAAAAATGGAATTACAAAATTGTACGAAATGAAATATTTTTAAAGTAAAAGTTGTAGAAGTCATTGATTATTGAATTATGGATGTTAATATTGTATGTGTATTAATATATCTTATATTATACTTTTCATGCAATGATATCATGATGTAAATTTTTAGAATTAGGAAAATAATGAATTAAAAAATTATTATGATAATATTTTTATTTTATCACATGATTTTATATATATATATATATATATATATATATATAATGTATCGCTAACGTGTCCGTGTCCTACTCTTTTGAAAAATTTCTTGTCGGCGTGTCCGTGCTTCTTAGCCTAACACGATCCGTTTATTAAACGTGTTAAACGAGTTGACCCGTTTATGAACCGAACCCATTAAGGTCTCTCTCAAACCTGTTTAATTCGTGTCGGTTAATCGTATTGTGTTGAATTTTGACAAGCCTACTCATAATAACATAGCATGTTATTAATATTCTACCAACTATTCAAGTTTGTAACATAGTTCAGTAATATCAAAATGTAAATGCCTCTAATTCGAACTTCTAACATCTACTGCTTGAACAACGCTAATATTTATCAAGAATTTTGAATTCATTTAAACAACATTAAAAATATTTTTTTTTTTTAAAACCATAATCACTGAAACGACGTTTTACTGACTAGTAATTTAAAAAAGTTTTAGGGTAAAACGTTGTCATTTTAGTCCCCAAAAAAAAAAAAAAAAAAAAAAAAAAAAAATTGTCACGTATTGTACGTATCAGACATATTGTATCGTGTATCGTAAGATACGGTGCAAAAAGGATACAAAAATAATACGTACTGTTTTTCAAGTGTATCGTGATGTATCGTACGATACTAATAACTATGTTTTATAGGGATATCCATTCTTTCTTGACTGATATGGGAAAAAGTTGGCATGCCAGATTATTTTTCATAAAAAAATCAATATTTTCTTGATTCTTATTAGTACTATTGTAATTCATTGGATCTGTATTGTATAATATTACTTGCTTTGGGTTAGGTTTGTACGATTTTAAATTGTGTTGTATGGTGAAGCACTCCACACACGCTATCACCAAGCCATGTGGGATTGGATGACCACAGTCCACCTCCTTAAGCCGGAAAGATATCGTTAGTACCTGTAACGACCCTGGTGATGTGAAATTTTGGAAGATGATCCCCACCATTCTAGTTTCCATCACCTAGACCACCGCTCCACTAGACCGGGGTGCACCAAGGGATGCGTAGACTACGTGATCTCCATGCTGCAAGACTCAATGGCTTTAATGTTCACTTTGTGCTATGTTTGCATAGCTTTAAAGTAGGTTGGATATTGTTACACTCCGGGAAAAACACATTCGTAATGGCCTTTACAAAGGTGGGTATCACTTTGTGAAGCTTCTATGTTCATCTTATGGTGGCTTGGTCAGTTGGAGGGGGACGATCTTTGCATGTTATGTTTGGCTTGGTCATTTGGAGGGGGATGATCTATGCATGTTATGTTTGGCATGAGGGCAATTTGTAAAAAGATATTTGTGGGCATCAGCTCTTGAGCTTAATCAGAATCTGGTACAGCAAAGCATTCTGAACCTATTCACTTGGGTGACGATTATCGGATTGTAAATATGTTCAATGAATAAAAGGATGCCAAGTGTCTAACTTTGAGAACCCATTGAAGAGAGGATCCAACATTTTAGCTGTTAAGTGATGGGGCTGGGCCCCACTTTCTCCCCCCAAACTATGTAGTCACTAAACTTTGGCCAGGAAATTTGAATACCTCTTGATCCCACGATTGGGAATTTTTACCAAATTTACTCTAAAATAAACAGCATAATTTGAGGGAATCAGAATGTCTTTGGATGAACTATTATTATTATTATTATTTTTAACTTGGCTTCCATGATTGCACAGGATCTCTAAATTTTTTTGAAAGTCAAAAAAAAGTGTGTTGATGTTGGACCTAAAACATGCACATATTTAATTTTTAGGTGGATGTGAACACAAACAAAAAAATTCCCACTTCCAATTTGCATTCCCATTATGTTACAGCGGTGGTGTTACAACACCCATTAGCTTTATTTAAAATATCACTGTCCAAAGCTTGAACTTATTAAGCTCTGCACATACACTTCAGGAATTGGGTCACCACAATTACATAGTATAAACATGCCTATATTCATTTTATATTGTTCGTTCCTCACTCTCTCTCTCTCTCTCACACACACACACTTTTCTCTGTCAGCATCAATGGTGAACTAGAGGGAGATATTCTTGGGGCTAAGGGGTTAAGACAAGGGGACCCCATATCACCTTACTTGTTTGTAATTGCTATGGAGGTCTTTTACTATGATCACTGATAAGTTCACTAAGGGTGACCAGTTCAGCTTTCATTGGAGATGTAAGAAGACACTTACCACTCATCTAAGCTTTACTCCAATTAAACCACGGGAAAGGGAAGGTGTGAAGCCTGATTGACCTAATAAATATTGCCCTTTCTCAAAATGAGACAGTTGGGATGGAACTTGAACGGGGTTCATTTGCAAAAGTTGGAGAATCCAACCTGCTGCTGTGGGAATAGTGCCTCACGTCGACACACACACACAAAAGCAGATATGGCACATGTGCAGAACTTGTGGAGAGCATCCATGTGGTGTTAGTGTTTTACTAAATTAACAGTTTATTTCATATCTATATCTTGGATCCTACTGTTGAAATAGACTATGTTTCTCCTAATGTTAGTTGTGTTGTTAATTGTTATTATTAGTTGAGCATTCTCATCGTCTACTGCAGCCTTTGCTTGGTCTTTTCCATTCAGAGCCTGGAAATGGTCTGTGGAAGCGCAAAGCTGATGCTGCTTTCCAACGCTGCACGGTATGTCACCCTTGATTATTAAAAGCTGAAAAGGTAGTGTTTTTTGTCCTTCAAGGAGCACCCTGTCTAGGAGCTTGTCCTCTGTTTCTGGATGTAGACCGGGTGGACAATGTTTCATGACTTAAACAAAAGAAATGGTTTCCTTCTTTAGTCACCTTCAATGAAATAGGGCAATAATAATTTGTCCCAATGTCTACCAAAATCATCAGCATAGTTCTTTGGCTTTGTGTTCCAACTGTTGGCAGTTTCCAATAATTGAGCTTATCTTGTTCATTTTTGAACTGAAAAGAGTATAAGAGTCAAATATTGCAACTTCTTGAAATTATGCTTGAAGGGATTAATTTTATGTGTTCATGAGGATTCACTTGATAAATTCTGATACTCTTTTGAGTTTTGAGGGTGTGGTTAGAAAAACATGGAGTTCTTTTTCCATATATTACAGGTGAAACCAAAATGATCAGTACTGTTCTCTGCCAATGCCAATACAAGGCACATTTTCAAATTTTAGAAAATGAAGAGAGAGATAACCTCATTTATAGGTTGACAAATAGTGAGGGGCTGTCGTTCAAATTTCTTAATTTGTCTACCAAAACTGTTATTGTGAACTAAATTTATGGTCAGACTTTTTTAATTTGATAATATTATGTTTAAAGTTATCACAGAAAGAGCAAAATAAGTCGATGTTTGTTTTAGAAACAGATGACGCCTCTTGATAGCAGAGGTATTATTAGAATTAGCGGGGAACAGTAACCTACTGTTTTATCAGTCAAAGGCTACTTTTTGTCAACCTTGAAGGATGCCTCTGAGCTTTGTAGGTAAGAACGAACCTATGATAGGGGTCGTGTAAAGAGTCTGAGCAGTAGTGATCTTGCGCTCTCGATGATGTTCCTGTACCCTGAAAAAAGTGTGTAGGAGTCTAGGAAGGGTTAAATATCTATGAGATGAAATGTTTAGTGGCTTGCCACTGGATCCGTGGCATAATGTCTTAACAACGGAAAAAGTTTTCCCACTTCCTTTGTTGTCTTTCCCTCAATCTTGTTGGATGCTTGGCAGTATCTGTTTGTTTAGATGTATCCTGTACATGATGTCTTTTCTTTCTTTTCCGGGTTCGAGTGGGAGCGGGGTTTTCTTTTTGTGTTGCCCCAGGAAAGAGAGGGTTGTTTACCTTATCAGTCGTGGCCTAATTTGTTCATGTCGTTTCTGAACCTTGTAGACAATCAAATCTTTTCTTGAGGAGACACTGTTAGCCATCCCTGACTCCGTTTTGGATTCACCTATTACTGAGGCATCTTCTGGTTGGGTAGATACTTTTGCCAATTCGAAGGTTTTGCTGCCTCCTCCATATACTGCAACAGAAGAAGAGGTACTGTATGATTAGTTTGTAGATGTGTTTCAAATTTTTAACTGCCAATTACTATTGCCTTATCAAGTTTATGTGCAATAGTGCCTATTCTTTGGGATAAGAGCAGATCAATCCCATTTAAAATTGTATAAATTAATATAGTTATGGTGGATAATTTGTAAATTTCAACCAACTAGAAATTATTCTTTGTTATAATTCCATGGAACATAATATAGAATCAAATGGTTGTGGATAATTTGTGAATTTAATTTTGAATACTGCCCTTACTCTTTGTTATGACTGGCATGGTGACATATATATATATATATATGATACGCCTTTTGCACAGGGCTATTAGAGAATGCTGTTGTTTCTTAAATGTTATATTTCTCTAGTGATCCTATTACTCAAAAAATGAGTAATGGGCGAAATGTTTTCCTTTCAGTTCTACAAATCTACTTATTTCTTCAAGTTATCAGTCATGCACTTGGGTTGAATTGATGATATCTATCGGAAATTGCAAAATAAGTAACTAGGGTTATATTGCCAAATACTTGTTACTTCCCCATGAGTTCTAACGCAAATGCTTGTTTGTCTTTAGGCATTCCCAAACTAGAGAAACTACATTATCATGTGGAGATAGGGGCTCCCTCTCATACTGATTGAAATGATCCATTCCAATTTAACTTCCAAGAAAATCTGTTACTACGAGGTAGTTACAATTATAAGTAACAGATGGAATATTGGATTCACCCTCCTGTAAAAGAAAAGAAAAGCCCAGAGTTTGAGGTTTCCACCATTGTGGGGTCAGCTTACATCTATCTTATGGTGGAGTATCAACCATGGTAGTCATGTAACCACAATGGGATTTAAGGGATTGTGGAAATCTAAACTGGAATGGTGCGATTGCAACTAGTCAAAAAGAGGCTATCCAACTTAGATGATGGCGTTTGGGGTTGTTATTCCCTTGCTTGAGCTTTATGCAAGACTACCCTTCTTCACCTAAGCCCTGCCATTTAACTCATCTTTGTATTAATATGATATTTTGTGTAAGAGCAAGGCTAGGGATCCCAAATATGAGTATGGACCCTTTGTCTAAAGTTGAAGAGGTTAGTTCGGCAGACACGCTCACCATTATGAGATGTTGGAATAGTTAGATGTATGTAGCACTCTATTTTGGGACTCAATCATGTCATATCTGGATTATATTTGAGCAATTTTATCGTTTTTCCGAAACTTGCCCTCATATTTTGTCTTAACTAAAACAATAGAACAGCCAAATTTAGAACCTCTTGCCTCATTCCATATGGATTTTTCCACTCTCAGAATGAAAGTAGTGTGCAGATTCTTGGTAAATCTTCCCAGAGGCCTTACTCCCACTGGCTACTTGCTGTTTTAGTGGACACCTTCTTTGTGAGGGGAGCTTAGACCTCGTTTCCCATCTCTAGTGCAGTAAAAGAAAGTGTGATTGAGAAAAAGACACGTAAAAACAAAGAGGTTATTAAATGTGCAGAATTGAAGGACTGGGAATGGAGGCTAGAGGTTGGCTAATGGTCAGCATCCTCGCTGTTAGATTTTAAGGTCGCAGGTTCAAATCTCGTTGTCGTCCTCTTTCGTAATAGTGTCTAACAAAAAAAGGGAAAAAATGAAAGACTGGGAATGAGCTCATGGTTGATTCAGCAATTTAGACCTTATTTTACAAATCATCCCATTTTCTTCATAATCAAGAATTGTCTTGGTCACTATTCTATGAAAAGGCACCATGAACACATCAGAATCTTTTTCCAAATGCCCTCGGTGGTCTATATAATAAAGCCGAGTTGTTTTTGAATCAGAGACAAAAAGTGGCTCAAATTAATTCAGGCTAAAAACAACTCCATACAACGGATTAGGTTATTTCAACTTATATAACGTTATTGACATCTCAAATCATTTCAAAATTTTTGATCTGTATCAGACTAAATACCAAAATTTGTTCCATGTTTAGCTCCACTTAAATTTCCCCGAATAATGGTCTCTCTCTGAAATTTCCATTCTTGATGCAGATCTCCTAAATTACCCACCTAATTTATGCCTTAATGGCTTCCCAAAATCAGACTCTCCCTTCACCCGCTGCTCTATATCTTCCTCCGTATTCTACTTAGCAAAATTGACTCACCCTCCCTTTAGCTGCTGCTGCCTCCTTCCCTTTCAGGTTTGTCTTCCTTCCATCTATCTCTCCATTTCTGCTCCTACCACATACACTCACTCAGACGCATACGACACAAACACTCACCCATGAACAAAAACACAACAACACACACACTCGAACACACGCACACGCAGTTCATAAATCAATACCCCAGTGCACTATTAGAAATGGCTTTTTAAAGTCATTTTTGGAATTGAATAAAAAGAAAACCTTCTGACAAGGTGTTTATGCCAAATATTTGCTCATTACATTCCAGGAAATAATACAATTTATTATATAGATGTGCAAGGCATCCAACTACTTATATTGCATAAACCTCAAGAGTCAACATTCAAAAAAACTACACAAATCACCTAGCCACCATAAGTTTTGACAGGTAATAAGTGATTTATTTGTGACAAGATTTGGCTTTTGCTTATGGTGTGAATTTTTCGGTAGTGAATATGATAATTGTGTTTTTTGTAATTACGATGTGAATTGACGACATCTAATTTATATAATTTGATATTCCAAGGTTGATATAGTTAGAAAAAAATGAGTTTGCACACCCATTTAATGTTCACTTAATTTAATATGATTTCATTATTAGAAAATGAGTTTTTTAGTTGCTTTCATTCAAAATCTCTATGCATGTTTGTTGGAACGTAACACATGGTGAGTGAATACCTGTTTCAATTTGATTCTAATTGCGTAAAATTGTGATTTATTTTAATTTTAATTTCATGTGGTGTTTTCATGTATTCATAGCTCTAATTCACAGTGATGATAAATTTTGTAAAGAAATGTGACAAACAGTAATTCTTTTTAAATACGTTTGAGTGGTACAGATAAAAAAGGTGGTGAAGGCAATAAACGAGAATTACATTTTTGTCGCATAAGCTGAGAGTGGAATTTACTTGTTATTTTTTCACAACATTTTGCTTTTGTCAAGTTAGAATGCATTCTTTTTTACATATGTATATGTAGGACATGTGTGTTCTGTGTGGTTTACGATATAATATTCCTACAAAATTATATGTGCTACAAACGATATAATTTTGTTTGATTGAATATATTTTTATATGCAATTTGGGATTTACTCCAATTATGAGACTTTGTATGCTTTGAATATACATAGTTTGCATCATCTTTTTGGTAGTTAAAGTTAATTTTTTATTTTATATAGCAAGATTAAAGTTGAATAATATAAAAGCGGAGTGTTGTTTGTTTTCTTCGACATAGGTCTGTCGGTTAATTTTATTGATTTTGGACTATTTGTTCTAATTGCCACATTTTACGAAGCATGTTCTTCTATGCATTGGTTGGTCAGTAATATCTAATTACTATGACATTTCTATCATTTAGGATTGATTTTTTTTGTTAACCAGATTGAGCTGATTTGTTATTTTGCTGAAGCAATTATTGTTATTCATCTTAATATGAAGTTTGCTTATATGAGTAATTTTCTAGCATAAATATTTTCTCTCATACTTTATAAGCTTTGTGTTGCATTTTGGATGTCTTTTATTCTGGTTCTTTACCATCTTTTGATTACTAATGAATTTATGTGCCGGTAACATTCTCACATGCGGTTACATAGATTATAACAAAATGTCCTTTTATTACTTATCACTATTGTTTGTTTAAATGAAAAAAGGGTAAAAAAAAAAAAAACAATGGTGAATGCTAGCCACAAAAAAACAAAAAAAAAAAGAGGACGAAAATACAAGATGATCTGGCAACGAGAATGAAAATAAAGAGGGCCAAGTGGTATGATTGGTTGATTACCCGTGCAAGATATAAGTAATTTTTAAAATAATCTACTTATCATTAACAACAATATTTTTCTTAATTTACTTTTTTAGGAAACTAACGATAAATGTATAACATTAATGTGCACAACTTGTCTAGATTTTTTTCTTCATTAGTACCAAGTCGTTTCCATCGAGCTCAATTACAACAATAAAAAATTAAAAAATCTTGCAATCAATCGATGACTGTGGAAATTCCTGAGCTTATAGCAAAACAAACTGTGCTAATAAATATCTTAGTGTCATCTTCCATGACCAAAATGTTATGAGGAATGCCTTCATGAAAACCTTGAAGGGTGCAATTATGGGGAGGACACCTCGCCGCAATCAAGATCACCCTCTAGATATTTCATGGATAACATCATGATTTTTGGTCATGTAAGTTATTATATAACTTTCTTGTTAAAGCTCTCCTATAAATAATCCAATTTCTATTAAAATTTTTTCAACTATCTTTTTATAGATGGATTTTGACTTAGCACACACAATAAGTTGATTTGCTAACCACTCTTTTTATTATTTTTTATATATGTTTACTTCTTACTTCTTATTGCTCAATATAACATCAACTTTTTTTGAATTTCTGGGTCTAGTTGCTTTGGCAAAATAACGTAGGCATCAAGATAAGATATACGTCCTTTGTGTATTATTATATACTATTTTCTACTATTATGATTATTTATTTATCTATTTTATTTTTTTATCTTTAGATTCGAAAATAGCTCTACTTTCAAACTGATTAATAGCTTGTAACAATGTGAAAAGTGAAGTAAATGATACATACGACCCAAAATTTTGATAAACAACAATTACAATGAGTCCACTGATATTTTTATAAATTTCAATAAAATCTCTTCTATAAATAGGACATTTGAATAAAGTCAGCTTGCATACAGAATATATATAATCAAATTTGTAAGTAACGAAAGTCACGTTACAACTAATGTAACATAATAATTGTTGCATCTGAGATAATGTCACTTCACACTGTTCAATATACTTTTTGTTGATTCAATATTCATGATTTAAACATTCATTATCAATTTTATTTCAAATTGAAAAAAATATTCACCAACACTACTGCTAACAACATAATAACAGATTTCATCATTAATGGAATTAAAATTGTAATAGAACACTCATAGACAAAGTAAGTACCCAGATGATGTTAAAAAAAATCAATTTTACGATCAGAAATTCCATCGACTTTCAAAAGAATGACTACGTCCTATTTTTTTTTTTTTTTTTTACATTTAGATGTTTTTACATTATCTAAAAACAAACAAATATTTTTTTTCCTTCATCTACATTCAAATAATAAACAAAATAGAGAAAACATATTTACTTGAAAAATATCGCTTCATCTGTTTGGATGTTCATTGTTTTTCAGTTGAGCCTCCACGTCTTCTAATACTTATGAAAAGATTATGTCATTTTCGATATCCACTAGTATAACCTCTAATTTTGTCATATCTATAAAACCATTCTCGAACTTCTTATGAATAATGTTAATCGGCCATCAACCATGCAGGTGAAAATGTGCTAAAAATAACATATAATATTATTGGATTATTCAGAACAAAACCTTTTTTCTTTTAGTTTGTCATATAATGCTTCTTTCTTTGTTATATGGTCTCTGACGTTCGATTTTGGATCCATTTTCTCTTGCTCAAATTGTATCCACAATAGATGGATATCACACTCTGCTTCCACTAATAATTGTACAAATTGTAATGCATAAGTTAGTTGGTCGTGATGATTTTTTTTTCCTTTACAAGATTTCAGGTGGTGGGAAGAGTCTACTATTTTGTGCATAATATAATGGTTATTTATTTTTTTCCTGCCATCTGTAGCATATGAGCTAATTTAATTTTGTTTAAGTCAAACTCTGAGATTGAGATTTCATCTTTGAAGGAATCATTTTCAAATTTATCTAATATATTTGATATCACCAAATGTGCACTACAACGGACATAGATAGAAGGTTGTTCCATATTATCTATACATAATATAAAATGTATAAATTAAATTTATAATAATTAGATTAACAATGAATTAACAGATAGCACAACAAACAAAATAATTTTATCCTCAGCTGCTTATGCAGCAATCACTTCATAAGTATTTGGAAAATCCTGGAGCTACTTTCTTCTTGAGTGGAGTTGCTGGAACTGGGAAGATGTTTCTATACAATACAACGTTTTGTATTGTATTGAAACATTATTTTTTAAACAATAACGATCGGAACAACAATCACTATTGTTGTTATTGTTGATTCATTTGGTATTGCATCTTTATTGTGATATTTGTTAATTCGTTACTAATTTGATTATTATAAATTTAATTTGTATCTTTTATATTATATACAAATAGTATGGAACAACCTCCTACCTGTGCATGTTATAGTGCGCGTTTGTTGGTGTTAAATATACTAGATAATTTGAAAATGATTCATTTGAATATGAAACCCCAATCTCAGAGTTTAGACTGGACAAAATTAAATTAGATCATATGCTACAAATCGCAAGGAAAAAAATAAACATTATTATGCAAAAAATAAAAAAGACTCTTCCCACCACCGGAATTCTGCAAAGGGAAAAATTTTTCATCATGACCAGCTACCATGTGCATTATGATTTGTATAATTATTAGTGAAAACAGAGCACAATATCCATCTATTGTGGATACAATTTGAATAAGAGAAAATGAATCTAGAATCGAACGTCAAATAACATATAATGAAAAAAGAAGTATTATATGACAATCTAAAAAAAAGAAGGTTTTAGGTCAAATAATCCAATATTGTTGTATGATATTGTTATCACGATTCTACCTACATAGTCGATTAACGTAATTCTTAAGAAGTTCGAGAATAGTGTTATAGATAAAACAATTTGAGGAGATGTTCGGGGATCTCGAAAATGACCTAATCTGTTGACGAACATTAGAAAACATGGAGACTCAACTAAGAAACAATAAACATCAAAACCGATGAAGCGATATCATGTAAATATGTTTTCTCTATTTTTTTATTTGAATGTGGATGAAGGAAAAAAATATTTATATATTTTTAGAGAATGAGAAAATAGTTAAATGTTAAAAAAAAAGGACATAGGCATTCTTTTGAAAGTCAGAGGAATTTATGATAATAAAATTTAGTTTTTCGACAACATTTGGGTAAGTACTGTTGCAATTTTCATTCCAATAGTGATGAATTCTATTAGTATGTTGTTAATAGTAGCGTTGGTGAACATTTTTGTAGTGTTTGAGATAAAGTTGATTATTAATATTTAAATCATGGATGGTGAATTAACAAAAAATATATCGAACAATGTCAAGTGACATATTTTATCAAATGCAACAATTATTATGTTGAAGTAGTTATAGCGCGACTTGCATTACATACGTGTTTGATTATGTATGTTATGCTAATGGTATTCAAATGTCCTGTTTTTAGAAGAGATTTTGTCGAAATTTTTAAGGACTCATTTTGGTCGTCGTTTATCAAAATTTTGGGCTATACATTACTTTATGCATGGACAAATATTTGTAATTTTTTACAAGTAGCATAGTGCCTTTAAGCACGAACATTACTAGTCCATTCATAAAGAACAAGTATATCTTTTACATCACTTTTCACATTTGTTACTAATTACTTTAGTTAGTTTTAAAGTAGAGCTATTTTTTAATTCAAAGACAAAAGAAAATAAAATAGATAAGTAAATAATCATAATAGTAGAAAAGAATATATAACAATACACAAAGTACGAAGTACAAAGTAAACCTATATAAGAAGTAATAAAAAGAGTGATAAGATTAGCTTACTGTGTGCACTAAGTCAATATTCATCTGTAAAAATATGGTTGAAAAAAATTCTAATGGGAATTGGATTATTTAGAGGAGACTTAAAACAAGAAAGTTATATAATAACTTAAATAGCAAAAAATTGTGATGTTATCCATGGAATATTTGAAGTGTGATTTCGATTGTGTTTGACCCTTATTTTCATTTAAACACACAATGTAGATAAGTAATAAAAGAATATTTTGTAATAATCTATGTAACCATAATTGAGAATGTTACCAACGCATGAATTCTTTAGCAATGAAAGAATGGTAAGGAATTAGAATAGAAGACATCCAAAACACAACCCAAATCATATAAAGTAGGTGAGAAAAAAATTCATGCTAGAAAATTACTCATATAAGCAAACTCCATGTTATGATGAACAACAATAATTGCTTCAACAGAATGCAACAAAATAACATTTCAGCTCAATCTGGTCAACCAAAAAAATAGCCCTAAATGATAGAAATGTCATGGTAATTAGATATTACTGACCAACCAATGCATAGAAGAAAATGCTCTGTAAAATGTGACGATTAGAATAAACAATCCAAAATCAATAAAATTAATTGGTAGACCCATGTCAAAGAAAACAAACAACACTTCCCTTTTATATTATTCAACTCTAATTTTGCTATATAAAAAAAATAAACTTTAATTACCAAATAGATTATGCAAATTATGAAAGCGTACAAAGTCTTATATTTAGAGTGAATTCCAAATGCATATAAAAATATATTTAGTCAAACAAAAATTATATTGTTTACATCATTAATTATAAACGATAACTTTTTGTAGGGAATATATTGTGAACCGCACAAAACACGTATGTTTAACATACACATATTTAAAAAGGAATGCATTCTAACTTGATAGAATCACAATGTTGTGAAAAAATAACAAAGTAAATTCCACTCTCAAGCTTATGTGACAAAAAAATAATTCTCGTTTATTGCCTTTAACGCCTTTTTTATCTACACCACTCAAACATATTTAAAAGCAATTAGTGTTTGTCACATTCTTTATAGAATTTATCATCACTATGAATTAGAGTTATGAATACAATTAGAATCAAATAGCGTTTGTCACACTATATGAAATTAAAATCACAATTTTACGCAATTAGAATCAAATATTTATGGAAGAATTACACTCAGATTCTCTGAGGTTTGTCACTTAATCACTCAGACCTCTTGACATTTGAAGTATTACACACAGACCCCGTGAGGTTTGTACACGCGTAACACTTAGATCCTTGCCATTAATGTCTGCTAGTACATCTGTTAGTAAATTACATCGAGACTCCCTGAAGTTTGTAGGCGTGTAATACTTAAACTTCTCAAATTTAAAATGTTATATTTAGACAAAAAATACTCATATTAAAGATAGAATATCAAATATTTTAAATTTTATAACCAAAATTTATGTTTTATTATGATATTTATTGAAATAAAATCAAAAATAAAAACCTGATTTTTTAGTAAAAAATCACAATTAATATATAATTATACTATCTATTTAATTTTATTCCAATAGATAATATAATTGTATACTAATTTTGATTTTTTAAGTAAACTTTTGTAAAGAATGTGACAAATTTAGACAACCCCATCTGTAAAGAAAAAATTATCAGAAGAAGCATGGAAGGAGCAAATATAAAACTTTCTATAAACAAGAATTTTGCAATTTATGCGCATACTTATCTAGGTGCCAAGTAAATTACTATATAGCAACAAGATAGTTTATACAAGGTACTTGGCAGTACTTTTACTTTTTGTTTGTGTAAAGTCTATTACACAGTACTTGTGTGTCGAAGCATTTCAATACATACTCTTACAAAAGAAACACAACCAGCAATACAGATAGATGTGCACTTCAACTATTGTTGGTGTGTTTTGCTTTCGTTGATATTTACACAGCACTATGAAATTGACTAGTCTTTGCTTTGGCAAGGGCAACTTGGAGAAACCTTTCCTCTAGTTTCTAATCTAACGTTTTCACACGAAGCTGTTGCTATTCCATCTCCTTCGGCAACTAGGTTAATGTTCTGCAACAAAATCCCTTGACATGGGAAGGTCTTGCTACAGTTAAATTTAATGGCCATCTCTGAAGCACTTGTTCCTTTGATGTTCTTGTACACCACATTCTTCACTTGCACAGCTGAGTACTGCCATCAGATTGAGGTATGTATAGTGATATGACATGTAGAGAAATTGTTTTGATTGTGTTGAAGGTAGCAGGGTTCGACTTATAATTACCTGTTCTGGGCATGGTTTATTCTGATCGCAATAGTTCTGATCAATAATTATGGGATTGGTCACATTGTGCATTGCAATATTTTGGAATTTGATGTTCTTTGCATATCCCGAACCTCCCTTCATATATAAGGAGAAAATGAAAATTCAATTGATCAAATATAAATGTATAAACTATATGCATTCGATCAAAACAATTGGGCTAATATATATATGCAGTAATGCATAGATGCACACACAATCACTTATGTATGTGTGCATCTTTTCATAATACAGAAGAACACATTCAAGCATTCGTATAACGCTTTAGAAGTATCTTGTAAATATTTTACTGGTAAATCTACAATGAACCTTTTAGAATGGAAGTTTGTTGATGTGGTGTCAAAGTAGTGTCAAAGTCATATTATGTTGAAATCAATATCACTCTAAAAGTTATATTTGCATGTGCTTCACTAAGATTTGACACATGTAGAGGTGTATCATATGTTGATATTTACAATGATGGAGAACAGAGATTTGAACTTGGGTTCTAGTTTGTCACTAATGACCCTTTACAACCGAAATCGATCCGCATTCCGTAAAATATAAATATATTGTTATCGGTTTCACTGTTGACTCGTATCTTTCAAGCATATAGTTATGAACAAAAAGTGAAGGTTTTCTCCCTTTTCCTTTTTCCTTTTTTTTTTTTTGTTAGTTCTCCTACTTGATATCTAATGCATGCATTTTTCACTTTTATAAGCCCATTTATGAACATGTTTTTGTTTAATTCCATTGATTAAGAACAAAATTTTCATCAACAAAATTTGGAACCTTACCATACCTAATAATTTTGGCCGCTGAAAATGGTTGTGTTGTTGGTTTGGCCCTGGTTATTTCACATATATTGAACAAAAGCTTTCACATATATAGAACAAAAGCTTTATACATAGTCACTGCTTTCTTATGGTTCATGAACCAGTGAGCACTCAAAATTTTCCATTTTGTTCTTTGGTACTTACACTTTTTTTTTTAATTGCAATGTTACTTGTGCCTAATTTGTTGATATAATCAATTATTGCCATTAGATTAACAGTATCTGTTGGGACTTGCTACTAATCAAATAACTAGGATGGATTAGGTCAGCAAATTTAGTCTGAATGATGTTATTATTTTTTTTGCTTACGTTTGCCCCAACTTTACTCATTTTTTGGTATAATAAGCTATGAATAATCAAGTAATATTAAGTTGTCTGTATGCATAAACACAAAGACAACAAACACCGATTAAAGATATTTTTTGTTAATTTAACATTGATACGGTGAAATAATTTCCTAACCGAACAACGGTTTGAACTAAATAATTATTATCCAACGCTTATGTTGTATATTGCCAAATACTAGACTAAATTATGTATTATTATAATACCTTATTTAATTTTGTCTTTTATCCATTTGTATTGTATTAGACCATATTCTTTTATGCAATCCATCCATTTCTAATATGACAGTCAAACGAGCCGCACCCATTCTTGATTACAATTATAAGGCATAAATCATCATATGGCATGCACACTTATAGTGTATGTGTGTGTTTTTTGGTGTATTAGTGTGTGTGTATTTTGATGTGTTAGTGTATGTGTGTGCAATTTGGTGTAATTATTATACAGGTTAATGGGTTTAACCCAACCAATTATGATCCAACCCATCATAACTCGATTATTAAATGGGTTAAAAATGGGCTAAACTTTTTTTTATACCAAACCCATTTTGACCTAAACCATAACCAACTCAACCCACCAATTTACCACCTCTACACAGGAGCATGCATATACATACTTGAATATAATTCTTAGCGAGTGTGGCAAAGCAATAGGCATCCTAAATATTAAAGTTTAAAAGTCATACTTACCTGCCAAGTCTTTATTCTTACTCCATTTGTGGTTCTTGAAAGTTTTGCTCTATTGACCACTACATCTGAAACCTTACCCTCTGAATTTCCTTTTCCTAAGCTTCCAATGCTGGAAAGAACACATGAAACTAAATTTGTGAAAAACTGATTAATAACAGGAATTAAAAAAATAGGAGAGAGAGAGAGACCTGATTCCATGGCCTGGTCCGCAGATTATATCTGTTGCTCGAACATTTTTAGATCCACTTACGATAGAAATACAATCGTCACCTTGAAAAAATTGAAGAATAGAAGAAGAGAGAAATTTAGACAATCCCATTTTTTCCCATCATCTTAGATGCAAATTCTGATTTATTTGGAATAAAAATTCATCACCCACATAGAAGTATAAAAGATATTATACCATAAGAACAAATGAGTTTCTTTACAAAACCCATGCTCTTAAAAAATTTATTTTACAAATCCGTGCAGTTTCAATTTTATTTGTCAAACTTGGATACTATTAAAAAAACGTTATTCCCAATAACGTTTTTATGTGAAAACATCATTTCAAATGAAGTCTTTAGATTGCACACTGCTCACCACACAACTAGATCCCACCATCTATGAATCACAAATGGTGTCATTGTGAGTTGTCTGTTTTAAAAATGTCATTTGAATTAACGTTTTTCAACGTGAAAATGTCATTTGAAATGATGTTTTCAAAAATATTTGGATTTGGGGAAACAAGTTTATAAGTATCTTACTCCGAAGAACAAGAATTCTAATTGCATGGGATTAGAAAAAAAAAACTAAGAATTCATGCTTGGTTTTAGTTTTTCCTCCACTTTACCTGTTCTAATGACAGAGCTCATGACCTGAATATTTTGGGTCCTCGTGATATGAATTCCATCAGTGTTAGGGCTCTTTTCTGGTGCTTGTACTTTCAACTTTGAAGCTCTAACATCAACACAATCTTGAAAAGTAAGATGGATTTGCTGTGCATTTTTTATCCTCAAGTTGCCTACTCTCAAATTATTGCACCTATTGAAGGTTACAGCCTGAAAAAAGAGTTCAGAAACATTTAAATCCTGTAATTAAGGATCAAATTTTCTTTAGGTTAGTTTGACTTCGATATCAAAAGAGGTATGGTACCAAAGTTTACCAAATTTTTTGGGTCAATTTACTACAAAACAAATTAAAACCAATTCTTAAAAGTATTGACTTTTAAGGTTAAGTTACACCTTTTTGAGGTGAAGTTGCAACGTTTTTAGGGGTTTGAGATCTATCCAAGATGCTAGAATCAATCATCAATTACTCGGATTGATTTGAATACCCCAGAAGGTTCTAACTTGACTTCAAAAGTTCGTCTCAACCTCAAAAATTTAGTAGTTTGTATTACCATACCCAAAAAATGCTTTCGATACCATAAACTTGTTTGATTACTGATTTAAGTTTTTCAATTTTGGAAGAAGAACAGGCATACCGTTGGTGCACCGACGCAAGGCTGCACAAAATATGGAAACAAAGTAATGATTAATTCAAAGAATTGAAAAAAAACAAGCAATGTAACGAAATTCAATTCAATTTTGTAAAATTTTGGCCTAATTACGTACAAGGGTTTTGTTGATTTTGCATGAGTTTTGCCACCAAATCTTCCCATTGCCATTGATGGTTCCTCCACCTTCAACTTTGAAGTTATTAACTCTTTCAAACGCAACCCAATGTCTTGGACTTTTTTCGTAGTCGGATCTGTGAGGAGAAGCTTTGATTGTTCCACGAATCTAAGCAATTATACAAGAAAAGAATATGAATCCATAGTTACAAAAAACCATGCGGGCGAGTTGTACTTTGTACTAAAAATTTAAGAATTTTCACTTTATATTTTTAAAGATTAAATTTTTCATATTGTACCTTAAATTCGTTGCACTGTGACCCTTCTATTAGCTTAGATTATTCATTTCGTCAACGTTCATAGAGTGATATTTATCGGAGTAAGCAATGAAAGTTCGTGCATGTAGGACAAAATTCTATATGCACGAGAAAAAAATCTTGCACTTGCATCCATGTCACTATCACTATCAGGTGCGAGATTTTTTCCTCCTACACTATCAAATAACATTTTATTTTTGTTATTCGATGTCTATTTTGATCGTACTCTTTTCTTACTAATTATTCACTATACTACACCTTTACTATGATCTTTTGACGATTGTATTCACAGAATCACCATTTATGAGTGTTTGACTGTTGATTGATGCATTCATAAATATTTAGACTCACCTTCATTGTAACATCAGACTTGCAAGGACCTGAAAATGTAATTGGGTTAAGATGATAAGTCCCGTTCTTAGGTACCACAAAAACAGCTCCATTTTCAGAAGAACAAGCCTCCTTCCATGCTTCTTTGAATGCCTGAATGCAAAGATAGAAGCAACTATTAGTCGGCCTGAGGACAAGAGTCTCTCGATTTGAAGAGAATCAAATATATGCAGTCTTAATCTATATGAAAAAAGAGTGTTTCCGCAAAAGTAAAAGTAATTAAGCAGTACTATAAAACATAACGAACACTGAAGTTAGAGGAAAAATTAGAAGAAAAAAGGGTCACCAACATTAGATTCATAGGCATGAATGGATTTCAACCATGATTACCTCAGAATCATCTGTTCCATCACCTTGAGCTCCAAAATCATCCACATTCACCATCTGGGCTGAGGTTTCATCCACAACTACTTTATCAAGCTTTGTATACTCATATATATCTGTCTCGGGCTCAACCAAGCTCGAAAAATTAGAGCTAAAATTTCCATCGTCGTTGTTTCCATCACCATGAGCTCCAAAATCATCCACATTCACCATCTGGGGTGAAGTTTCTTCTGGGCCTACTTGATCAATCTTTGCAAATTCATATATATCTTTCTCGTACTCAACTAGGCTCGAAAAAGTAGAGCTGAAATTGCCTTCCTGATTGTTAATGGTGCTAAAAGATGTAGAGTATGCACTTAACTTTGGATTGTGGCCATGGTTTTGATCAAGTTTAATAGAAAGTGGGACCTTTTGGAAGCAGCTAAAACAGGAAGAAGAAGATATTAAAATGATAACTAGTGGGACAAAAGGGTTTTGTGAAAACATTTTTATCTTAAATTGGGTAGAGAGAAAACAAACATCCAGAAAATTTGCAGCTTGCTAGAAGACAGGAGGGATGAAACTGAAATGCTGTCTCATCATGAACACATATAAATACTTTAAAAAAAGTTGCTTTTGAGATCTCTGAGAGAGAGAGGAAGGGTTTGCAAAGAAGCAACAGCTGCTTAGAGAATGTTTTTGGTGACTTAGAGGTATGGATTGAGATGCAAGAGATTGGGACGAAAGACTAACTTGGCCGGTGGTTGACTCTACTTTTCAGCTTTCTCTCATATAAGGAAACTCAGTTATATATTTGAGTACAAGAATGGGATTTTTTTCCAAATATACATACCAATTATATAGTCAAAAAAATGAATTATATAACCAAAATGACAAAAAAATAGCTGGGCGACTTTCACAAATGATTCAAAAGATATATGATTAAAACGGGTCTCGGGTCAAAAGGAGAAACATTTGCCCATTTGAGGAGCGAGAAGCAAGGAGCGAGGATCAGGTTATGGTGTCCTACTACCTAGAAGTTGTCGTAGGGTTTCTGGTGACAATGTATTTTGCAAGTGTAGGATGTTAGGAACATCACAGGTTGGTTATTTCAGATTAAATATATATATATATATATATATACACACACACACACACACACACTAAAGAAACTGAAACTGAAGCTTAATAGTAAATCCTCTACCAAAGAAAAAATGTTTACAGCAGTTAAGCATACGAAAAGGTGGAATTGAATGATCTTTTTGTTATGAAACCTCAGCGTTATATTATTAAGTTGCATATGTAATGTCACACTATTTAAAGTCCTTAAATATCTTTTGAACTCCCTTTATAAGGGCCAATGTTGTCAAACATGAGAAACAAAACAAATAAAGAGAATATGTCCGGTTTCGGATTAACTAAATCCAACAAAAGAGAGGTTAACGGTTCTTCTAATGACTATCATCCCCGTTTTAATTAATATATTGTGGCTTACACGCTTATTTTGCGTGCTAAAGGTTTTCGAATCTTACAAAACACATATTGACATACATACATACATATATATATAGAAATCAGCCCTGCCAAAATGAGACTAAGTTTATCGATCACTATTTCTCTTACATCTCGTTATAAACAAGAGTTTTGTGCATTAGGTGCACGATGCAAAATGCATGACTAGTTTTTGGACATTTGTTTCGGACGCAGTTGATGCCATACGAATGGGGCCAATTATTATCTAATAAAGTCCAATTAGGAAATTTTTTAGGAGATTTTGATTGATTTTATTTCCAAATCAATTAGAGAGTTTGTTTATTTTATTTTTTAGTTTAATTTGGATTTTACCTTTATTTTATTTCTAAATTAATCCACGATTCTAAATTATTATGTTTCCTAGATTGATTAGGATTCTGCCATTATAAAGAGCTTATGATACAATCTATTGAGGGAGTTTTGGGTATTTGATAATAATATATTCCGAAAACGTTTTCTGCTTATTTTTTATTTAGTTTGGTATTTTTAAGAATCAACAGAGCCATTGTGAGACTTTTTACATTGTATAATCTATGATAATCAATAGCTTTCGTATGGTAATCCATTGATCAAAAGCTATCGTTCGTTTAGTGCGGCTTCTTAATTTCATACATAATTGGAACTAGGTTGGTGATTTGACAATATTACAACATTCGTTTACGAAATTACGCAACTTGCAATTAGGGGTGTCAATTGAACTGCACTTGTTAGAATTGATAATTTTCAAGTCGGCTTGACTGTGATTGACCAAGCTTACGCTCTAGCTAACTTCAACTGTCGAGCTCAGATGTTGGTCAAGGTTGGCACAAGAGAAGCTTACAAGTACTTGAGGTAAATTGATCTCAAATCGAAATCAATTTCTTATAAATATTTCAAAATTTTGAGCCCTAAACTTAACTATTACACTTTCTTTTGAAAAACCTCGTAACATCTGAGTAATCAACTATAAATCAAATCATAGAAGCTTTAATCTACTACAAATCTATTAGGGAAGAGAGGGAGAGCCAATTTACATGACCTAGCTATGGGCCTATAGCTATTTGGAATGAATATGATGTCAGTCAAAGAGGTTGTTTGGTCGTAAAATAAAATTATTTTGCAAGGCAAAACCAACTCAGACTGAGTTATACGTTGCTCAAATTCAGTTGATTTATAAAAAATTACAAACCCAATCAAATTTCATTTATTTTACCATTAAAATGAGCATCAACAAGCCAAAACCAAGTCCAGTCTAAGCCCTGCTCGAGCTACTCATATCATTCTTACAATTTTTACTTGCAGTCGAGCCTAACATAATTATTTTCCCTTTTTCACCCAACATTGGAATTACTTGTGTACTTTACAGAGCTGATCAAGAATCCCACTCCCATCTTTTTTTTGAATGCTCATACTCAGAAAGAGTGTGGAGGAATGTCATCAATAAGTGTGATTGGCCATGACAATCTTCTTCTTGGCAAAGTCTCATTGAGGCTATGTCCACCCAATGAAAAGACAAACATCTTTAGAATTCCATTAGGAAACTATGCCTTGTTGTCACTGTTATATTATTTGGGGAGAAATAAATCATAGAATTTTCACCAATGAGCACAATGATCTAGGTACTACCCAGATGATGATTTGGAATATGATGAGAAGTAGGCTTCTTTCAATCAAAATCAAGGACACCCATCTTCATAGATAGGCTGCTTCTTCTTGGCAACTTCCAGGCTCTTTTTTTTTGCACCACATTTAAATTCGATTTGTTGTTTACTGGCTTTGTAATCTGTGGGGAGTGTAAAATGCAACCCCCACCCAGACTTCCTCTGCCTGCTTTTGTTGGACTGATTGTAAGTTGTTGCAGTCTTGTCCTTGTGTCTCTGTTTTTGTTCTATTTTTCTTTGGGATTATGTTGCTATGTTCATTTGCATACTCAATATATCTTCTTGGTTTATTTACCCAAAAAAAATAATTTATTTACCACTATTTGTCAATTTTTTTTAATTTAATTTTTTTATTATCATTTTGACCAATTGACATATTGCACGCATAACCAACATACACATACAAACAAGAGGACCCCCCCCCCCCCCCCAAAAAAAAAAAAAAAACAAATATATATATTTATATAATAAAACATGACTGATTTTGAATTCTTAAGTTAGTCTACCACAAGAGTAGATAAGATTCATTCAATCCAATGGGTCAAACTAAATCTTTCCCCCAAAACTAAGATTCATGACTGACAAATTTTTCCCCCAAAACTTGAAAACCCCACTCAGCCTATACTTTTTTCAAGTTAACCAAGGTCAAACTATGTCTTCTCTCTTCAATCTTTTTCGTCTATCTAGCCTTTTAAATTTTGTTTTTCACATATTTTTCCTACCAATTTCTATCACATCTCTAATTTATAGTAAAGTTGAATCCTCAAAATTTTGATTAATTTGTGGCTCTATATAATTTTTATTTTAGGCATTGTCCATATATATAATAATGTACACATATTAATATATTTTTTTAGATCGTATATTTTTAGAAAATTGTCAATTTTTTTTTAAAAAAAAATAGGTACATATAATTTTAAATTATATAATTAAAGAAATGGAAGAAAAAAAAATTATTATTTCATACAATGGAACTAATTTTTTGGGTGCTTAGATTTTACATTGCATCATATATTCAAATACGAATTTTGACTAATATATATATATATATATATATATATAAAGTGGAAGAGAAGCAATGTCTTTGGTTAGGTGAAGTTAGGAAAGTGATCTAACCACATGAGCTTTTGTGCAAGAAAAGAGTAAGGTGGGTTTGTGGTAAGAGAAATGGCTTTGCGTGTGCTTTTTGGTAGGGTGGGGGGGTAAGCTTATTAGCGTCACCATACTTTGCCTTGGCGTTTTTGGACTAAAAGCACATGCATGGGTTTGGAGTAATTTTAGTTTGTTACTTCAATCACCTTTGCCTTTTTTCACACAATTAAAGGGCAAATATATAGATTTTCTTTTGAACTGCAAATGTATAGATTCATGGAGCCAAAAAAAAAAACCCAAATTATTCCATTTATCATTTTTTTTTGTGTTGTAATTTGAAAATCTTAAAGTTCTCAATGAATATTTTTGTGTTAGCAATTTCTTATATGAGATTAGCACAAACCAAAACCAGTATGAAATTAGAAGGTTATGATTGGGACTAATCTAGTTCAGGTGTGAAAAAGAAAAGAGGAAAAAAGTAATCAACTATCAAACTATTGCATTTTAATTTCTAAAATGAACCACTTTGACATATTTGTTGAACGGACATAAACATGACACGCAACATGAATATGATCCGTGAAACCTCTAACTTTTTATTATGCATTTTTCATTAAAGAATTTTATCAATATGTATAACTTGTTTGACTTATGGAACTAATCTGTTCCGACACAAAATACTTGTTAAAAGAGTTACATGTGCAATATTCTGTCACCAGTGTAATAAATAGTTTGTGCAATGTTATGCCACCAATGTAATAAATAGTTTGTGACATGTTCATGCTAACTCAATCGTTAGGATAAATATACACTAACCTACTTGGCATGGCTTAAGTGTAACCCCTAGGGGAAAAATTGGAAGTGGCCTAATTTGTTTTTGCCACAAATGACACACTTGGCTAATCCATTCCATTGCATTGTGTCATCAAAATGTTCAAACACACGGCACCTAGAGATCCATTATAGTTGTGTCTCTAACTATCATTTGGGTTGAAATGAAGGTATGGAGCAAATATTATCATCTTCAACAAGTTTCCTCATCCTTGTTTGGCAAGTTTACAAAGAGAATGTAGGTTTAAAAATACCCCTCTCTTATTTAACACCATTAGCTAAGTGGGTCTCATGAACATCTCACGATGGTTAATGTTCAACATTACATTGAAAGACGAATTTGTTATAAAATTTTATAAGAGTGCCTTTAGTATTTTCTAGCTTATATTGGGATTTGTACCAAACTAGAGC